ACACACACACACACACACACACACACACACACACACATCAGTGGTCAATAGCAGTTATTTTCATCCATTCAGTGAAGAGACAATTTTCATTCAGAGAGATGAGTGTAAAATCAGTATCTGTGGTCGAATCATGATGAGGATGAGTGAGGACCGTTCTCTGCCGGTGTGTGAGCTGCTCTGCCAATTACTCACCTGCTCCATGTTAACTCCAGCCCCGTCACCACCTCCGGGCCAGAACGCTGCTGTACCTTGTTGTTCTGTTGCTCTACATCGTCTCCTCTGCTTGATCCTCTGACTCTCAGCTCCCTCAGATCTGTAAAAACCTGGACTCTTCCTCTGCTTCCACTTTAGTTTGGTAGTTCGGGTCTATTGTCAACGTTTCACTGTGTTTTTTACACATCACGCTCAGTAGATTATTTGTAGGGAGATGCCGTCCCCTTTAAATCAGAATGACCGAATAATCCCCCCCTCGATAATCTGCCTTTCCTGCCTCTCCCTCTCAGCCTTCCTCCCGCGAGGGAGCAGAAAGAGAATTTTTATGCACAGTCGCATCCGACTAAATCACAGCATCCACAGTTTAAGAGTTGAAACCTAAAGGCAGCAAAAAGAACAGGACTCTTTGCTTCTCCCGGCCACAAACACATTGACCAGTTATAACATCCATAAATACCACACAGTCCTTGGCAGGCACACAAGCAGTGAAAAAGCGCCCATGTGTTGACCAGTACTCATGTTTGTGGTGTTGTTTCCTGCTCGTAGTAGAATCCTGACTCTTTATTCACGTTTGCCTCACTTCAGCCAATCTCTTCCACTTCAAAGGAAGATTAAAGGATATTTCAAGACCTTAAAAAAACCGGGACAGAAACTACATCAAGATTCTAACTTTCATCTTAAGTTCATTCGAGTTTTTAACAGGAGTTGATTAAATCGAGAGCATTTCCTCCAAAGTTAAAACTAGTTTTATTGCAAAATGCAATAAATAAAATAAGTAAATGATTTGTTGTTAACATGATTTATCAAGTCAGTGTCCTCTGCATGTCTTAGTAGTCCCGACTCTGTGAATCACACTCATGTGGAGACAGTGTCTTCTCAGGCGTCACAGTGCTGCATGATGTTGTGTTAAAGTAACAGAAGTGACTACATGAAGATTGTCGCACACAGTCTCAGTCTGTTGACTTTCAGACTCTGTTATTCAACCTGACGAGCTCTTATTGTGAAGAGGTAAAGCTGCGTCCATGTTCCTGCTCTGTGGGAAACGAGATCATGAGAAGTGAAAAGATGTTTTTAATTTTTATAATTGTACATATGAACTTTGTGCATTTTAACATGAAACAAATCAGGTTTCCACGGCTTTGAGAAGTCAAGTGAGCGTTGAATTCATTTTTTTTTTTCATTTTTAAAATTGAAAGTAAAATGAAATTGCAAAATCTGTTCTTTTTGTGAACCCGTATAGTTTCATGATGAAACTTCTCTCTCCTGGTTGTCAGAGTTGTTGGTCAGAGTTGAATCCTGACAAATGGATGAATTCATGAATAAATGAGTTTTCTTTGTATTCACGATTTTTTGGTTTTGTCTGATTCTGATGCAGTTTCTCTGCAGGTCGTCATTATCTGTGCAAACCGTCTCCAGGACCCCCGTGAAACTGAACTCATCTCATCTCCACAACAACAGGGGACTTAGTGAAATACATTTTTCAGCAGCACAGGTTAAAATACAACTTGTTTTGGTTGGAACGAAAAAAGATGTAAAACTAGAAAATGAACCGAATCAACATTACCAGTGTTTCTTTGGAAACAACCATTGCTGCCATTTCTCTCTGTTTTCATTCGATTGACTGAGCAGCACCTGTGGATGGAAACTCCACTGAGACTGAATGACACAGTCTATGTTCTGGAGTATCAGCTGTGTTGTTGTGGAGTCTGTGTGCATGGCTGCTCTGACTCCACACCACTGGAGCTGGTGCTTATTCACTGAGTTTATTAATTCAGCCTCACTGCTCCCCTCACTGTCCCCTGCAGCATACAGCTCCTCTTTAATCTGCCTTATTAGACAGACTGCAGGAAGCTGTGCAACTGAATCTCAGTGTGTTATGAAGCTCCGCTCACTCGATGTGGCAATAACATGGTTCTGTAGACGTCAGACTTCAGGTTTGAACCGGGATCCGCAGCGAGACTCAAAATCTCCTCAAGTTAGGAAAAGCTCTTATTATTAATGAATTCATCATTTGATTGAAGGAGACTCAGAGGAAGTGTAACTCGTAAGTGAAGCTGTCAAATAAATGCGGAAGGATTAAGAAGGGCATAATTAAAGAAAAGTACAAGTACCCCTCCAAATTGTACTTGACTTAATGCTTGGCTGGTCCAAGTTGAAGAGTTTAAAAGATGTCAGCTCAAAGTTCTCACCCTGAAAATGTACAGACACCTAAAAGTGAGACTGATGTGGTTGTAACGTCTTGCAACAAAAGTAAAAGGAGAGACCTTAATATCTATCACCAAATTTTACAAGACAACAGGCTGCAATATTCTATACACAATATATATACGATATATAAATATATGTTTATGTGTGTGTGTGTATCATGCAGGACCTTGGAAACTGTGAAAAGTACATTTGTAATAGTAAAACAGAAAGTTAAAGCAGGTTAAAGCAGGTAACAGTACATGAACGTCTGTAACATGTGTTTATCTGTTTGTGTTGAAGATGTTTATGGTCAAAGTGAAAATCGATTGTTCAGCAGAGAATAGAAAATATAATTTAAGAGATCCCGATCCACACTCCATAACAGCTGGTGGCAGTAGTGCTCTGAAGAAGAAGAAGAAGAAGAAGAAGAAGAAGAAGCAGCAGAAGAAGAAGAAGAAGAAGCAGAAGCAGAAGAAGAAGCAGCAGAAGAAGAAGCAGCAGCAGACGAAGAAGAAGAAGCAGAAGAAGAAGAAGAAGCACACCTGAAGACAGGTGGATGAACTCACCTGTTCTTGATCTTTTCTCTGAGTGTTTTCAAGTTTATTCAACAGTTATGAATTAATTTGAGAAGAAGAAGTTCAGTTAACACTAATTCTTCTTTATCAGGAAATGAATGCTGGTTTTAGTGAATGATGATTTAGTTGTGCTCAGTGAAGCTTGTTAGCATGTTGTCAGTAGTGATGCTAACTGTGAGTCAGTTAGTTTAGTTCACCTGGTTCGTGACTGAAGAGACGGAGTTCACACCTGAGCTTTGATTCATGTGTTCACACACAAAACCAACATGGAGGAGATGCCTTCACTGACCCTGGTTGATGACTGGTGAGTTCAGCTTCCGCCACCTGACACGTGTGTTTCCTCAGATTACTGTGATTGGAGTCTGAAGACTCAGTATGTGATGATGTGTGAAAATATGCAAACTGATATCAGAGAAATCAAAAAGATAAATCTGTTTAAAAGAAGAAGGTCTAATAAATGAAGAAGGAAATACAATTTGTATAAAATCAAAATAATTTGGTTAAGCCGCATGAATTAAAATGTCTTCACATCTGTCCCACGCTGTTGAAGTTGTACTTCTTTGTTTGTTCTGTGATGACGGACAATATATCACGAACAGGAAAGAATATAAATGATGGTGTTGTGGGTTAAGTTTCTATTGAAGGATAAAATATGAGGCACTGGACAAA